AATGTTTTATGAACACAGATAAAGAATGCATACGACACTTTTTGAAAATTTTCCGAGAAACTTGATTTAAAAACAAATAAAAATTGATTAGCAGTGTGTATGGAATATTATTAATAGTTAATACTTCGAAGCTTTGTTTACCATGTGAATTTGAAATAGCACCGAAGTAAAAAAGGTGAAAAATGAAAAGATGAAAAAATGGAAGACTAAACGCGAATAAAATGAGATTAAAAGCAGAGAAAAAGATTCTGAAACTTTGAATGGCTATCAATAATTGTTGAAAAGTATCAGATGAAATTAATGTAAATGTAAAGTTGGAAATCAGCACCTTTCTTAGAAAAAATGACCGAAGTAAATGAACGAAATGAAATAACAATATTGCAATATTATATCAACAAAAGTAAATCGGATAGATTTGTTAATTACGCGGAGCTTTTTTAATTAATCACTGAGCATAGCGGACAGCTTCCGCCACAGCACAACAGATCCGATAACTGGAATCAGATGAAAAGAAACACTCACTTCCTTCCGGACACCGAAATGGCTGCCAAATTTCCGTTTCACTACCACAAGCAATCACTAAATTGTGTCGATCACGAATTGCTATCTCCTTTGTGCAAAAGGTTAATACTGCAAAGTCATAATATTATGGTTACAAATTTGTCGTGATCATATCGGAATGGTTGCATCGAGACTATTCTTTTCAATGAAAAGTTCAATTTATTCATCACAGCTGGAAAAAAATTCAAATCTCAATCTTAGAGTTGCCCAATGTACGATAGAATTTCGCAAGATTGCAAACCATTCACTAACATTCTACAAATAATTTTTATCATGATAACATCATCAGCTCAAACTATCGCTAAATGACCAGCTAATCAGAACCACTTTTGATTTTAGATAATAGTACCTATGACTTACTGATTTATATTATCTCAACTTCGTTTTCGGGTGATTGTGATGGAAAGAAGTAAATTTATGAAGATATAGAGAAAAAAACAGACATGATGCTCTTTAAGGACAAATGTGCCAATGAAAAATATTGTCCGATGGTATTATCTATGAATCATCCCGTTTGTAATCCGAATGATTCATTGACAGAGTCATTAAATTTTTTCTAAAGCTTCATCCATAACAATTCCCAATCATTTTTTCCGCTTCCATCCTTCTGCTTTCTTCATTACCACTCCTGAATTTATCACAACAGATGCACATCCCTCAATTCCCCTTCACTAAATTAAAATTCATACCACTTCAAAGATATGTCCTGTGAACCACTCAGTTTCACAGCGTCAATGCTGTTATTTCAAGTCTTTTTGGGTATACGTCCCCGGCAGCGCGTGATGTTGATCGTGGAGGTAATTGTTTGGAACTGGGAGGAGGGTTGGCCGACCCGGGAATTTGTTTTTCCAGAACGGATGCGATTAGACATTGATTTTAGCTGTATTTTAGATTATATCCACAGTAGCGTGAAATTCGTAGTTGTGTTTTACACCTTCAAAGGTAGCAATGAATAATTTTGAAGACAATCAGCAGAAAGGTCCACCACCATATGGTTTGTTGTTATAAAAGTTTTGAGGAGTTCTGTTTGTTTTTTCAGTTAGAAACTCGTTATTTTCGTAGTAAGCATTAATTTGTATTATAATATTGGCTTAGGACCTATCCAGAAAATGTACCAACTCTGTTAATGCAATGATGACCATAACATTGCAGAGACGGCAGTCGACTCAAACACAAATGTCGGTGGAATACCGCAAACAACAGAAAAATATGGGTCTTATCCACCATCGTCACAACCATCTAATAATCCTGCATATATGCCACAAACTCTTAATCCAACATTACGTTAGTCAGCAGTCATTTTGATAGGAATTTATTTAAAAAGCTGGTTACTTATTTGCGATATCAGTTCTCGGAAGGTATCATATATCGTGTGTTTGGTGCATATTTCTAACACCCTTGTAGCAAATTATTGAACTATTTAGCAAATTCTTCCACGATGTATCCAGAGCTACAAACAATACCAGTTATTATTGGTGTACCAGTTTTTGGACCAAATTCCTGTACAATGACTTGCCCTAGTTGTAATAAAGCCATTGTTACGGAAACACATACGCGTGCCGGTTTACTAGCATACACGATCTGTGGAATACTGCTACTTTTTGGGTTTGTAATTTTGTGCGTTTTGTTCTTGAAAGTATCATACGAGTCGAATTTAGCTTGAGTCAGTGGAATGATTTCCGAGCTTATTTTCATTTCAAATCCAAAATGAATCTCTAACTTTATAATGTTCAAATAATTTGTCGAGATGTACTACTATTACCGCATATGAGTAGCATATACATAGCATTTTTTAATGAGAATCAATCTTATTAATGCTTAGTATTTTTTGGAAGAAACTTCAGTTTTGCAAATAGTACTACAGTTTTTATTTTACAGTTGCTGGCTTGGTTGCTGCTTAATTCCTTTCTGCGTTAAGGATTGCTTGGTAATTCATTTTTTTCTCTTTCCATTCAAATTAAGTTTTGGATCAAAGCCTTTTTATTAGTGTATCGATTGTTATCTGACTGTCGTGATCTCTTCAAATCACCGTATTCATAAAGTGCTTTTCATTGTAGGATGTGAATCATACTTGCCCTAACTGCAAAATATTATTGGGATCGTACAAAAAGATTTGAGATAGCAGGAAAAACAGTATAGCATCCGGATCGAATCGTGCAAGTGATCGTGGAGCGGAAACTTTTGTCGCTTTTTCATTTTCAAATAACACCTAGATTACTTTTCTATTTTTTTATTATATTTAATACCAATGTTTTTGTTTTATATAATTACCTTTAATCAATATCTTATTGGAATAAGTTTTGAGATTTGTGATGAGATTCTGATTCGAGCGAGCAATTATAATGAATTACGTTTTCTATCGATTTTTCCAGATTGTTGATTTCTTTAACCTCGTTACTTTAGATAGTGCATAACCTCTTTACTTTAGATAGTGCATTACCAATGATGTGTGTTTCTGTGTTCCAGCGACGAGACGCTACGTCAAAAAAAAATTTGAGCATATTACCTAAAGCTAATGAAGGCAGTAATCGTTGATGTGTTGTCTAGATAATGTGATGAATTAAAATAATAGGTTTGTGATGGAAATTTGTGCTCATTACTAAATATATTAAGCATATCAAATGTGTTTTTGTTATTTGCATGTGAAATTAATGAATCCAATCTAGCGTTTTCTGTTTGAAAATCCAGACGGCAGTTATGGACTATCATCTTACAGAGACACATTGCTTACACTTAACAGATATAGCTGGTGTGTTCGACTATTACACTTTAACAAACT